AGAGCCCATTTAAGGGTCCTAAGCCCAAAATAGTCAAATTGGAAGCTTATTGGTCCATTAGGCCCAATAAAAAAATTCTAGTCTATAATAGACTTAAACCGGGATTTTTAGGGTTTCCAATCTTTTGTTGACCATTTGAAGTGTTTGTATAGAGTGTTTGATGGAATTTTGTTGTTACATCATGTTTTCAAGTGATGGTTACAATTGTTGCCATTGATAATGCTTACATAAGGATAGAACTTCCTAGCCAAATTTGCTAGTTGTGACATATAAAATCGACACCTGAGCATCGGGGCGTTACAAAGGCAAGCACAGGAGAAGCATGAGAAAAAAAAAGAGAACTAATGACACATCAGTTATTTTTCGGACTACCGATGAAGGTTTGGGGCCTGAAGATCTAGCGGTGCTACAAGCAATGAATGATCAAATTAAGAAGAAATATTTGGGTTAATTAGAATTAGTAGTAAAATGTTATGGTTTTAGGTTTAATTTAAATGTTATTTGGGTTAATTAGGACTTGGAAAAAATGTTATTTTTTGAAATTATGTCTTTTTTTTTATTGTAATCTTAATTTTAGTTTTCAAATATTATGTCTTTTTTTGTTTTTTAAATATTATATTTTATAAAATTGTATTTCTTTTATTAATTTGAAAAAAAAATACAAACAAAAAAAAGTAAAAAAAAAACTCAGAAAAAAATACAAAAAAAAAATATAACATGGAAAAAAGTTGATGTTACATCTTGTTATAACATGAAAACCATTTTCTGACTTGATGTTATAACACATTGGTGATGTGACATGTAAGATGACACAAATTTTATATTATATCTAGTTGTCTACACGCGCTTAAATGTAGTAATATTTCATGTTGCCACACCAACTAATCTTAAAAATTACGCTAATCGATTAAAAAACAAGCAAAGCACTACTCATGATACCTTATTTATTGTAAAAATTGTACATAGATATTTATTTGATCTAACAACATTTATTCACAAATAAAAACTATAAAAACATTTACAAAAAGTTTAAAGCATATTTAAAAGGGATATATACAGTAAAGTCGCAATATTTTCATCGATTTGACAAGAAAATCCTAAACTTTATTTTTTTGACAGTAAAGTCCAAATTACCGGCAGTTTTTTTGACACTTTTATCCTTTTTTCCCGGTTAGCAGGTAATTAGGACTTTTTTGTCAAAAAAATAAAATAAAATTTAGGACTTTCTTGTCAAATCGTCAATTAGGACTTTACTGTAAAAAAAATAAAGTTTAGGACTTTCTTGTCAAATCGTTAAAAATATTGGGACTTTAGTGTATATATAATTTTTTTTTGTTAGAAATTTAATGGTATGATACTCTTTAAGCATAAGAGTTATTAAAACCTTCTCTAATCAGCTAAATCCTATTGAAATCCTTAATGTTTGCTTCTTGTTAAATCGTTTTTTTAATCTCAACAAACCGACAGTGAAAAAAATTGAGATAATCAAGAAAGAAAGAAAGAAAGAACCAGGGTTGTGTTGCTTTTTGCAGTCCCAAAAATAGAGAAATAAGAAACCGAAAAAAACGAAGTTGCCCTTCTTTCCCTTCTCCACATTCACACCCTTTTGACTAGACATGTGTTGTTTGTGTTTGTATAAAGCCAGGGCAATTTTGTTTTTTTCGGTTTCTTATTTCTCCATTTTTGGGAATGTAAAAAGCCAACACAACCCTGATTCTTTCTTGATTATCTCCATTTTTTTCAATGTCGGTTTGTTGAGATTAAAAAAACGATTTAACAATAAGCAAATGTTAATGATTTCAATAGGATCTAGCTGACTACAGAAGGTTTTAATAACTCTTATGCTTAAAGAGTATCATACCATTAAATTTCTAACAAAAAAAAGGATATATACACTAAAGTCCTAATACTTTCAACGATTTGACAAGAAAGTCCTAAACTTTATTTTTTTGACAATAAAGTCTTAAACTTTATTTTTTTGACTAAAAAGTCCTAACTACCGGCTAACCAGAAAAAAGGGTAAAAGTGTCAAAAAATGCCGGTAATTTGGACTTCACTGTCAAAAAAATAAAGTTTAGGACTTTCTTGTCAAATCGATGAAAATATTGAGACTTTAATGTATATATCCCTATGTAAAATTGTAAATTGTCAAAAAGTTTAAGAACAAAAATATATTTGTAAATAGTAAATAAAGTTAAAGTAAAGGTGTATCCAGCTGGAGAACTATAAGAGCATCCACCTTCCAACAAGACCCATTCCTCCCCAAAATTCTGTAAAAAGGAATGGAGCAAACCGCCGCTCCACCACAACCACAGCCTCTCTCCGCCACCACCGCTGCCACAACGGCAACCATCAACACCACTACCACTACTACACACCCGGACTCCGTAGAGACTTCCCCTCGTTCCCGCAACAATGATTGCTGGGCAGAAGAAAATTCGCTATACCCATCTAATAATGGTTCTACGGCTGCGGCGGCGCCGGGTGGTTCTGCTAAGCTCCGGTTGATGTGCAGCTACGGCGGCCACATAGTTCCTCGCCCTCACGACAAGACCTTGTGTTACGTCGGCGGAGATACACGCATCGTTGTCGTAGACCGCCACACTACTCTTTCAGACCTCACTCACCGTCTTGCCAAAACCCTCCTCCGATCCTCTATCTCATCCACGACGGCATCATTTACACTTAAATACCAACTACCTTCTGAAGACCTTGATTCATTGATCTCCGTAACCACCGATGAAGACTTGGAAAACATGATCGACGAATATGAGAGACTGAACTCGTCTACCGACGTTAACAAATCTTCACGGCTCCGATTGTTCTTGTTTCCGTCTAAACCAGAATCCGTTTCCTCCATCGGATCGCTTCTAGAGAGCACCAATAAATCAGAAGATTGGTTCCTTAACGCGCTCAACGGTACATCTTCGATGTTTTCCGATACTTCATCCGTGAATTGCTTGTTAGGTCTTGAAGATGACGTTTCGATCCCGGCGAAGAAGGATGCTAATCACAAAGGTGTGATCGGTAAGCATTTGAGAGGAAATAATTCGGTTCAGGATATTCAATCGGTGCCTGACTCTCCGATGTTGGAAACGTCATCATCGTTCGGGTCAGCCTCGTCATCCCCGTCACTGGCTAACTTGCCGCCGGTTAGAGTAAACGTGGATGATCAACAGAAGGTTGGAGGAGGAATCGAGGAGCAGTTTTCTCATATCAGTGTACATCAACAGCAAATCAAACATCAAGAGGATGTGAGTTTTCTGACTGCGCCGGCACCGGTTCCGGTGGTGATTACCGGCGTGCCGATAGTTTCCAAGGTCGCGATCACCGATAATCCGAATCGTGTGTTATCACAAGATGAGAAATCGGAGCAGGGGTATCAGTTGGCCTATCGCAAGCAACAACAGCAGCAACAACAACAACAATATCAGCATAAACAATCCATAGCTTTTGATTTGCCTTCCCCGGATTCTGTTTCAAGGTATCTCAAAGACCTCCACTTTCTTCTTACTTGTATGCAAATGCATGCTAGATGTTTGCTAAAATGCCAAAGTGTGTTTTTGTTCTGAATAAAGTTTATATCGCCATAAATTGCAGTGATGGCAGTATAACAAATCCCTTATCACGACGAACTCCCCCTGTGGTTTATCAAGATCCAGTTTCACAAGCCCAATTTTCTGCTAATAACAACAACAACAGAGCTTCTGAACACATTCCAAGTAATATTCATGATCAAAACACAAGAATTCAGATTCAAGATTCTGCTTATTTAATCTCAACTCCAACAACACCAACCCAAGGTGATCAACATCAACAGCATCCCCAATTGCACCACCAACCACAGTTCATTCATACCGCTATTCCACCACCACAGTACATCCAGCACCACCCATACCCATCCGGGGCGGTTCCATCTTACTACCAGATGTACCCATCTCATTCCCAGGGCCAACATCATGCTCCTCGCCCACTTGATCAGCATAATTTTGTGTATTATATGCCTCCTCCTAATAATCAAGTCCCACCACCTCCTTCTAGTTTATTCACCGGAGCAAGAACTGTCCAACCTGCAACTAAAACTGAATCTCCGGCAGCCATGTACAGAACAGCAAGCTCAGGGCCAGGTCAACAACAACAACAACGTCAGCTTCAGCATCAGCCTCAATATGTTGGGTACCCTACCCCTGGAGGTAATTTTGGTTATGAGTTTACTGATCCTTCAAAACATGTATACTATGCAACACCTCAATCTGCTTCTCCTTCTGCTTCTGCTGCACAATATCAAACCATGGTCTCAAGTTTGTCTGTTCCTTCTCCTGTTGAAGCTGCCGCTTCTCATCTTCAGACAGATAATAATTTGAGAACAACATCACAGCCTTGAGCCCTTGACAGGTGAAAATTTTGCAGCCAATTGTGTTTTGTTCTATCTTATTCTTATATTTATATTTTATCTTTTTATCTTTTGCATTGGTATTGGTTTGTGGTATGTATTTGTGATTCTTGTTAAAAAACAACAAAAAAAAAAAAAAGCTTGATTTTTTTATTCTTAGTATATGTGTAATGC